CTGTCACTGTATAACACTGGGGTACAGTACTGGTGGGGGCAGGTCTGCCAATGTATAACACTGTGGTACAGTACTGGTGGGGGGCAGATCTGTCAATTTATAACACTGGGGTACAGTGTTTGGCACAGGTCTGTTACTGAATAACCCTGGGGTATGGTGCTGGTGGGGACAGGTCAATCACTATATAACACTGGGATATAGTACTACTGGGGCAGTACTATACTGTATAAGAAGAGACTTGATGCACTGTAATAAAGGCAAGACCAATACAAAAAGTTAAAACATATTCCCAGCATAAATTTCTCAGCCTTTCAAGCCTGTTCCACAATTAAATGAGATCATGATTATTTTGCATATTAATCCCATTTAGCAATTCTATTGACATGAACCCTGAAGGTGCTGACTCTCACTGGGATACACAGTTCCTGAAGATGTTGACTCTCACTGGGATACAGTTCCTGACGGTGTTGACTCTCACTGGGATACAGTTCCTAAAGGCGCCGACTCTCACCGGGATACAGTTCCTGAAGGTGCTGGCTGTCACTGGGATACAGTTCCTAAAGGCGCTGACTCTCACCAGGATACAGTTCCTGAAGGTCCTGGCTCTCACTGGGATACAGTTCCTGAAGGTGCTGGCTGTCACTGGGATACAGTTCCTGAAGATGTTGACTGTTCAGGGTGCCAGTTTCTGAAAGTGCTGACTCTCTCCATAATCAGGAGATAATGAGGGCATGTTGAAAAATGCAGTAAATTAATTTTGGATGACTTTAATCTTTCTGTAGATTGGGACAACCAAATTTGCAAAGGTAGCCATGAAGAAGAAATGTATAAAGTGTACCCAACCCAGTTTCCGTAAACAATGTTTTGTGGATAGATCCAGGATCAGGCTATTTTAGATCTGATGATGTTTAATGCAGCAATTTTAATAAATGATCTCAAAGTAATATGATCAAACCATGTTTCCAGTTTGAGAGAGAGAAACCTAAGTCAGAAACAACTGTACTAATCCTAAATAAAGGTAATTGCATATGGATGAAGATAGCGTTGGCTGGACTGGACTAGCAAGAGGGTTTAGCAGAAAAGGCAGTTGAGGAATAATGGCAGATGTCCAAGAAAATAGTTAATAATACACAGCAAAGATATAACCCAATGAAGAAGGGTTTGCGGAAGGAATAAACTGACCATTATTAACCAAGGAAGTTAAGAGCAGTATTAAATTGAAAGAATAAACATATCTGGCAAAGGTTATTAGTAAACACAGGGATTGGGAAGGTTTTAAAAGTCAACAGAAGATGATCAAGAAAATAATAGGGGCAGAAAATAAACTTCAAAGGCAAACTAGCCAGTAATATAATCATGGACAGTAAGAGGGTCCTTAAAAATACTAAAAGGAAGAGAGAAGTCAAAGTGAACATAAGTCTTTGAGAGAATGAGACTGAGGAAATAATAATGGAGAATCAGAAAATGTCAGAGGAAATGCTCTGTGAGTCTTCACAGTAGAGGAAACTAATAACACTCCAAAAATACTAAAATAATTAAGGGGCTCAGGAGTTGGGGACAGGGAAACAAATGGAATAACTACTACCAGTGAAAAAGTGCAAGGGAAATTAATGGGGCTAAAGACCAATAAGTCCCTTGGAACTGATGGGATGCATCCTAGGATAGAAGTAGCAGCTACAGAGGTGGTGGATGCCAGTAGTAAGTTTCCAATAATCCTTAGATTCTGGATAAGTCCTAGTGGATTGGAAATCCTTCAATGTAACAGCCTCATTCAAAAAGGAGACATAAAAAACAGTATCCATAGGCCACTTTGCTTCACGTCTGTTAATGGGAATGTGAAGCCGTGTTATTTTTCTGTATTTTTGACTGTGGACTGAAATAGGAAAAGGACTGTATTAAAAGCCAAGGATTGTTGAAGAATTACTGCACTTTTTAAAAGCAAGTAACCTGACACTCATTGTAAGTGCTGTTTACATTGTTGCTTTCTCAAGCAGTTCTGAAAGTCTGGATTACAGCTGAGCTGGAGCCAAGTGCAATGTACAAATGGAGCTTTGGTCAGCAAAAAGTAGCTGATTGGTCTATGGACTAGTGACCAGTTATTAATGACAAAGGCCTTTGCCTGGCAACATGTGTATGAATGGCTCCCAGGTAGCTGAACAGCTTGGGTTGTGACGAGATAAGATGCCATCAGATCTCTGCAAAGTCAGGAGCTATCCATTCACTCTGCAGTAAAGGAAGCCAGCTTATTTTTCCTTCAGTAATCGCTGTAAATTGGGGCTCTTAACCAGTAAGTGAGAGACTTTACCATTGTTAACCAATTACCTTGTATTGCCTGCAAGCAAGTGAAAAGTTGCTGGAAAAGAACAATCACAGAGCAAGAGGTCCTGACGAGCCAAAAGGACATTCTCAGTAAACCCCGTGAGCAGGGGCTGTTGAACTGCCTTCCACGCCCTTCTCTCCATCCACAACATTTGTTTTTTTTTCCCTGTCTGTTTATCTGTATGTGTGTCTATTGGTTGGGGTGGGGTGGAATTAGAATTTAGTAAAAACGAGTAGATTAATATGTCAATGGTTCAGATTTGTTTGTCTGAACTTAGAATCTATTTATTTGTTACAAGTACTCATTCTTGTTAAATACAGAATCCTGGGCTGTGCTTTTTGACAACCCAGGCCTAAAAGAAATGAAAATTAGGGAATTCTGCAAACTTCTGAAAATTTTAATTATTGTGACAAGTCCAAGATTAGCAAGGCTTGATTTACAGTGTGGTACCCCAGTGAGGTAGAACAGGAAAACATCAGAGTCCATTATGAAGGATCTAATAGTAGATTTAATACAATCAAGCACAGTCAACATGGCTTCATAAAGGGGAAATTATGTCTATTAAGTTTGTTACATCTCAGTGAGGATATAACAAGCAGGATAGATAGAACGGCACCAGTTCACGTAATATATTTGGATTCCCAAAAGGCATTTGAGAAGGTACCACGAATATGGCTACTTAATAAGCGAAGACCCATAGTGTTGGAGGTAGTATCTTACTATGGATAGAAGATAGAGCTGGGAAAAAAAGAGGTATTTTCAGGATGGCAACATGTAACTGGGCAGTACAATGGGGATGTGTTGGGGCCATAATTATTTCCAATACATATTAATAACTTTGGGATTTGGGGGACCTTATGAATAAATGAGGAATAAACGAACAAAAAGCTAGCATCCAGGTTTATCAGGTATCCATAGAATCCCTAGTGTGGAAATAGGCCCTTTGGCCCAACAAGTCCATACCGACTCTTGGAGCATCCCACCCAGACCCATCCCCCTATAACCTACATAATCTACACATCCCTGAACACTGTGGTCAATTTGGCATGGCCAATCCACCTAACTTGCATATCTTTGGCCTGTGGGAGGAAACCGAAGAACCTGGAGGAAACCCACGCAGACACAGGGAGAATGTGCAAACTCCACACAGACAGATGCCCGAGGGTGGAATCGAAGCCGGGTCCCTGGCGCTGTGAGGCAACAGTGCTAACGGCTGAGCCATTGTGCCACCCAATCGTGCCTTCCCGTATTGGGAAGGGAAATGGAATGCAGGCCTTTATTTCAAATGGAATGAAGTATAAAAATAGGGAGGCAGTCCAGAGAACATTCACCAGGTTGATTCTAGGTATGGAGGGATTTTCTTATGAGGAAACTTTGAGTAGGTTAGGCCTACAGTTATTGGAATTTAAATTAATGAGAGCACAATGTTTGGAAACATATAAGATTCTTAGGGATTTGATGTTGCAGATGTGGTGATGTTGTTTCCCCTGGTGGGAGAGTTTAGGACCAAAGTACACAACCTCCAAGGAAGGGATCACCCAGTTAAGACAGAGATGACGAGGAATTTCTTCTCTCCGAGGGGAGTTCTTGCAGAGAGCTGTTGAGGTTGGATAATTAAGTATACTCAAGACAGTTCCTGATGGTGCTGACTCTCACTGGGATACAGTTCCTGAAGGTGCTGACTCTCACTGGGGTACAGTTCCTGAAGATGCTGACTCTCACTGGGATACAGTTCCTGAAGATGCTGACTCTCACTGGGATACAGTTCCTGAAGGTGCTGACTCTCACTGGGATACAGTTCCTGAAGGTGCTGATTCTCACTGGGATGCAGTTCCTGAAGGTGCTGACTCTCACTGGGATGCAGTTCCTGAAGATGCTGACCCTCACTGGGATACAGTTCCTGAAGGTGCTGACTCTCACTGGGATGCAGTTCCTGAAGATGCTGACACTCACTGGGATGCAGTTCCTGAAGATGCTGACGCTCACTGGGATACAGTTCCTGAAGGTGCTGATTCTCACTGGGATACAGTTCCTGAAGGTGCTGATTCTCACTGGGATACAGTTGCTGAAGGTGCTGACTCTCACTGGGTGATGGTTCTCCTTGAAATATTGATGATGACTCCCTAAAATCCAGTGTGAACAGAATAAATGTGACCTCTGTAAATAATGTTAATGTGGCCAGTTACATTTCCATGGGTTAGACCTAGGAATCTTCAGACATTTGCCAAGCACTTCACAACCTGGAGGTGCCCAATTCTGATGGGAAAAAATAGAAGACATTACATAATTACTTCTGAAACATCATTATTTACTCACTCTTCCCTTATTTCATCCTCCCTTTATTCATAACCTGACAAGTCTAACCATTTTGTAGCATGTGTAAAGGGGCTTCTGACTTTGGCACCTCAGTCCTCTCATTATTGACTCTCTCCCTTCCTCACTCATGAATTGTTATGCCAAGCTCCATGCCAGCTGACTTCATTAGCTCAAGTGATGTGATACACTGAGCGCTTAGCTCAAAGCAGCCTGATTGGCTGCTCGTTGGCCTTTTATGGTATCACAATTAGGATGGAGTTGAGACACTAGTTGTCCCTATGGGGAAGCTTCAAATTTCATTGGGTACAATTTAAAGCCAAGGATGTCAGGCCTAACATGGACATCAGGAAACTTCCCATCCAAAGAGGAATTAGCTGAAATATAATCTGAGAAGGATACTGAAGTGGATACAAGTTGAATCATATTGATGCTTCAGAAGAGAAATTAGGTATGGTAGGCAGAGGTTAAAAGAAAAACTAGGATGCATTTGCATTTCCAAAGCTCTTCTCAGCTAATAAAGCATTTTTGAAATGTAATCACTGTTGTAACCTATTGTAACATTTCGATTATTAATGAAGAACAGCAAGATATTTTCTAAAGTAAAACTTCTAAATAGGAAGAGGGGACCTAGCCAAAGTAAAATGGAACTAAAGACTAGGAAAATTTATGTAGGAGCAATGTGTGATCGTTAATGAGGAGATGCTTCAGGTACAGACCTGGTACATTCCAACAAAAGTGAAGGGCAGGGATACCAAAGCCAGGCACCTTGGATAATGAGGCAGATAAGAGTATTTAGTGAAACAGGAAAGACAAAGAGAATGTATTATGGATATTAGATGAATTCTTCAAGCAAGCAAATAGCCAAATACAATAAGTTAAGAAGGGAATTGAAGAGGAAAGTAAAGTGTGTGTGGGAATAGATTGGCAGTTAATGTAAAATCAAAATCTAAAAATCTTCTTTCCACTTGTAAAAAGTGAGATGCAGTTTGATACACGGTGGAATTTTTCGGAACAAAGAGGGTGATACGTGCTTGAGTACTTTGTGTCAGAGTTTACTATTGGTAGAAGCAGAGATACTAGAGGTAATGGACGGGGTGAATACTATTGAGCACAATATATTGGAAAGGCTGGCTATGCTAAGTGATACATTGCCTGGTCTGAACGGCATGCATCCAAGGTTGTGGAAGGAAGTGGTGGTGAAGATTGCAGAAGGGCTTGCCATAATCTTCCAAATTTTCCTGGATTTGAAGATGCCAGAGTTTTCAAGAGTTGTTAATGTGGCACCTTTGCTCAACAAAGCATGGAAGGACAGTCCTAGCAGCCACAGGATGGTCAGTTTAACATCAGTGATGGATAAGGTTTTCAAACATAAACAAAGAGACTTAACAGGTGCGTGGACAGATCTGAGTTAGTTTCAGGAGAGACAGCATGGATTTGTAGTAGTCAGACCATGTTTGACAAATTGAATTATTTTACTGAGTTGACAGAGAAGGATGATGAGGGAAAAGCAGTAGATTTTATCGACATGAATTTTAGGCAAAGTACAACAAAAAAGGCTGATTGACAAATCTGGTGTGCAGGGGACAATTTCAAGATTGATGGTCAGCGTTAAAACTTGAAAGAACTGTAAAATTCAAAACTGTTCTGAATTCTGAACAAGAGTCATACCAGACTCGAAACGTTAACTCTGTTTCTCTCTCCACAAATGCTGCCAGACGTGCTGAGTTTCTCCAGCATCCTCTGTGTTTGTTTCAGATTTCCAGTATTCACAGTATTTTGTCTTTACTCGTGGATTCTTGATTTTGGGAGGTGTGCAGATGGTATTGAGAGTTATGAAGTGTGGGGAATCTGGTGGAGACAGTGGGATTGAGAGAGGGTTGAGGGGGAGAGCTAATGGCAATTGACTGAGTTGAGAAAGATGAATGGGCAAGATGTGTCGCTCTGAGCTGAAGCACGTCCAGTACAAGCTGTGACAAGCGGGTGACAGTAAGGCTACAGCTTGAGCTATTATCCCCCAGCAATGCCTGGTACTTGAATGATATTTATATAAAAGCTGTGACTGATAGTTTATGTTCTCTCTTGTTTTGTGCTGAACAGTTGGTATAAACAATGATTCTGACCACTCACCATAACAGCCTGGTCACAGACATTTAGTTGTGGCTGTCCTGGCACCAACGAGGATCTGTGATGTTGCACAATGTTTGAGATCTTTCTCATTGCTGTCTCATACTCTTGATGGGAAAACCTGCAATATCAGAGAGAGGTAATCTGAGATGAAAAGAGAGAGAAATATGGATGTGGTGGGGGGGGTGGGGTGGAAACAGAAGGATTACAGAGAGATGCACACAGGAAAACGGGGAGAAAAAGAGAAGTGGTTAGAGAAGAAGGGAGACAGACGGAGCTGACATGGTTGCTCTCAATTCTTGTCCGTACATGGCTGTTCACACTGAGTGGGAAACAGATATCAGTGGCCCTCCTGAAGTTGTAGCAATCCAAACCAAGTCTAATCTGCTCACTCTCTCTTCCCCCTTTTTTAAAAAATTCATTCATATAGTCATAGAGTTGCATATCATGGACTCAGATCCTTTGGTCCAACTCGTCCATGCTGACCAGATATCCCAAATTAATCTAGTCCCATTTGCCAGCATTTGACCCATATCCCTCCAAACCTTTCCTATTCCTTTACCCATCCAGGTACCTTTTAAATTTGGTAAATGTACTCGCCTCCACCACCTCCTCTAGCAGCTCAAACCACACACACACCACTCTGTATGTGAAAAAACTGCCCCTCAGATCCCTTTTATATCTTTCCCCCCTCATCTTAAACCTATGCTAGCTAGTTTTGGGCTCCCCTACCCTGGGAATAATACCTTGGCTATTCACCCTATGCATACCCCTCATGATTTTATTTCTTTATTCATTCACGGGATGAGGGCGTCGCTGGCTAGGCAGCATTTCTTGCCCATTCCTAATTGCCCAGAGGGCAGTTTAGAGTCAACCACATTGCTGTGGGTCTGGAGTCACATGTAGGCCAGACCAGGTAAGGATGGCAGTTTCCTTCCCTAAAGAACAAAGAAAATTACAGCACAGGAACAGGCCCTTTGGCCCTCCAAGCCTGCGCCGATCCAGATCCTCTATCTAAACCTGTCACCTATTTTCCAAGGATCTGTATCCCTCTGTTCCCTGCCCATTCATGTATCTGTCTAGATACATCTTAAATGACGCTATCGTGCCCGCCTCTACCACCTCTGCTGGCAACGCGTTCCAGGCACCCACCACCCTCTGCGTAAAGAACTTTCCACGCATATCTCCCTTAAACTTTTCCCCTCTCACCTTGAAATCGTGACCCCTAGTAATTGAGTCCCCCACGCTGGGAAAAAGCTTCTTGCTATCCACCCTGTCTATACCTCTCATGATTTTGTAGACCTCAATCAGGTCCCCCCTCAACCTTCGTCTTTCTAATGTAAATAATCCTAATCTACTCAACCTCTCTTAATAGCTAGCGCCCTCCATACCAGGCAACATCCTAGTGAACCTCCTCTGCACCCTCTCCAAAGCATCCACATCCTTTTGGTAATGTGGCAACCAGAACTGTACGCAGTATTCCAAATGTGGTCAAACCAAAGTCCTATACAACTGTAACATGACCTGCCAACTCTTGTACTCAATACCCTGTCCGATGAATGAAAGCATGCCGTATCCCTTCTTGACCACTCTATCCACCTGCAATGCCACCTTCAGGGTACAATGGACCTGAACACCCAGATCTCTCTGTGCATCAATTTTCCCCAGGGCTTTTCCATTTACCACATAGTTCGCTCTTGAATTGGATCTTCCAAAATGCATCACCTTGCATTTGCCTGGATTGAACTCCTTTCTGCTCCTATGATGCTGCTTGGCCTGTTGTGTTCATCCAGCCCTGCACCTTGTTGTCTCCTATACTCAATACACTGACCAATAAAAGCAAGTGTACCAAATGTCTTTTTCACTACCCTGTCTACCTGTGACTCCACCTTCAAGGAACAATGAACCTGTGCCCCAAAGTCTCTTTGTTTGGCAACACTCTCCAGGACCCAACCATCCCTGCCCTGATTTGCCTTACCAAAATGCAACACCTCATATTTATCTAAATTAAACTCCATCTGCCCATCTGATCAAGGTCCCATTGTACTGTGAGATAACCTTCTTCACTGTCCACTACACCATTAATTTTGGTGTCATCTGCAAACTTACTAACCATTCCTCTTATATTCACATCCAAATCATTTATGTAAATGAGAAAAAGCAGTGGACCCAGCACCGATCCTTGTGCCACACCTATGGCCACAGGCCTCTAGTCCAAAAAACAACCCTCCACCACCAGCCTCTGTCTCCTATCTTCCATTCAATTTTGTACCCAAATGGTTAGCTCTCCCTGGGTCCCATGTGATTTAACCTTGCTAACCAGTCTACCGCGCGGAAGCTTGTTGAATGCCTTGCTGAAGTCTATAGAAACAATATCCACCGATCTGCTTCAATCAATCTTCTTTGTCACTTTTTCAAAAAATCTCAATTAAGACACTCGTGGGCACGATTGGCTGGGCCAGCATTTCTTGCCGAGCCCTAATTGCCCCGAGAAGGTAGTGCTGAACTTCATTGTTGAACCGCTGCAATCCATGTGCTGTGGGTTGACCCACAATGCCATTTGGGACGGATTTCAGAATTTTGACACAGTGACAATGAAGGTAGGACGATATATTTCCAAGGGAGGGTCGTGAGTGGCTCGGAGGGGAACTTGCAGGAGGTGGTGTTCCCATGTATCTGCTGTCCTTGCCCCTCTAGATGGAAATGGTCATGGGTTTGGAAGGTGCTGTCAAAGGAGCATTTCTGCAATGAATTTGTAGAAAGTACACACTGTTGCTACTGTGAATCAGTGGTGGAAGGAGTGGATGCTTGTGGATGTGGGGCCAATCAAGCAGGCTGCTTTGTCCTGGATGGTGTCAAGGTCCTGGAGTGCTGATGGAGCTGCACCCATCCAGACAAGTGCGGAGTATTCCATCACACACCTGACTTGTGCCTGTTGATGGTGGAAAGGCTTTGGGGAGTCAGGAGGCAAGTTACTCGCTGCAGTATTCGTAGCTTGTGACCTGCTCTTACTGTAGCCACTGTGTTTATGTGCTGCATCCAATTCAATTTTTGGTCAATGGTAACCCCCAAGATTTTGACAGTGGGATTTCAATAATGGTAACACCATTGAATATCAAGGGGCGGTGGTTAGATTATCCCTTATCGGAGATGGTCACTGACTGGCATTTGTGTGGTTGCGAATGTTACTTGCCACTTGCCAACCCAGATCTTGTTGCATTTGAACATGGATTCCTTCAGTGTCTGAGGAGTCGCGAATGGTGTTGAACACTGTGTAATCATTGGTGAACATCCCCATGAACATCCCCACTTCTGACCTTATGATGGAGGGAAGGTCATTGATGACGCTGCTGAAGATGGTTGTGCCGAGGACCATTCCCTGAGGAATATCGACAGAGATGTTTTGGAGCTGAAATAACTGATCTCCAACAATCAAAACCATTTTCCTATCTGCCAGGTATGACTCTAACCAGTGGAGAGTTTGCCCCGAGTCCCGTTTTGCTATGGCTCCTTGATGCTACACTTTCATTCTCACCTCACCTCCGGAATTCAGCTGTTTTGTATATGTTTGAACCAAGGCTGTCAGGAGGTAGGGAGCTGAGTGGCCCTGATAGAACTCAAACTGGGTGTTATTGAGCAGGTTATTGCTGTTTTCTCCTCATTCACTCTCTCCCATTGTCTCTCTCTCTTTCATTTCCTCATAGAATCAAACAGTACATAAGAGGCCCATAGGCTTACCGAGTCTGTATTGCAAAGCTACACTAAATCTACATTTTTTTTTCTTTATTCAGTCATGGGATGAGGGCGTCGCTGGCAAGGCCAGCATTTGTTACCAATAGGCCATCGCCTGCCCTGTGGTCCCATCTTCAAGCACTAGCTCCACAGCCTTGAATGTCATGACATTTCATGTGCTCATCCAAGTACTTTTATAAGGTTGTGATGATTATGAATACAGCAGAGGAGAGTAAATAAGAAGAAAGATAGCAATAACCTCTCAGGCAGTGCATTTTCAGATTCCCACCACCCTCTGGGTGAAAAATAATTTCCTCAAATCCCGTCTAAATCTCCTGCATTTCCCCTTAAAATTATGTCCCCACATTGTCCCTTTCTCACTAACTCACCAGCACAGTTTCTCTGTCTCTCTCTCATTAATGCTCCTGTGCTTGCTCTCTCCTTCTAACTCTCCAGCATGTTCACTTTTTCACTAACACTTCTGCACTTTCTCTCTCTCACTAACTGTACCATGATATCTCCTGCTCTCTCTCTCTCTCTTTCTGACTGACCCTCCTGCGCAGTCTCTTTCTCACTACCTCTTTTGAACAAAGAACATAGAACGGTACAGCACAGTTCAGGCCATTCGGCCCATGATATTGTGCCAACCTATTATCCTACTCTAAGATCAAACTACCCTGCATACCCTACATTCTACTATCATCCATGTGCCTATCCAAGAGTCACTTAAATGTCCCTAATGTATCTGACTCCACTACCACCACCAGCAGTGCATTCCACGCACCCACTACTCACTACCTACCTGTGACATCTCCCCTATACCTTCCTCCAATCACCTTAAAATTATGCCCCCTTGTAATACTCAGTTCCACCCTGGGAAAAAGTCTCTGACTACCCACTCTATCTATGCCTCTCATCATCTTGTACACTTCGATCAAGTCACCTCTCATTCTTCTTCACTTCAAAGGGAAAAGCCCTAGCTCCCTCAACCTCTCCTCATGAGACGTGCCCTCCAGTCTAGGCAGCATCCTAGTAAGTGTCCTCTGCACCCTCTCTAAAGCTTCCACATCTATCCTATAATGAGGTAATCAGAACTGAACACAATATTCCAAATGTGGTCTAACAAGGTGTTATAGAGCTGCAGCATAACCTTGCGGCTCTTAAACTCAATTCCCCTGCCAGTGAAAGACAATACACCATAAGCCTTCTTTACAACCTTATCAACTTGGGTAGCAACTTTGAGATATCTACGGACATGGACCCCAAGATCCCTCTGTTCCTCTACACTGCCAAGAATCCTGTCATTAACCCTGTATTCTGCATTCAAATTTGACCTTCCAAAATGAATCAGTTCACACTTTTGCATAGTCTTTCTTTCTTCTCTCACTAACTCTTCCTTGAGGTCTCTCTTACTAAGTTTCCCATGCTGCCTCTCTCTCTGTTACTTACTCTCCTGCTCTGGCTTACTTTCACTAACTGTCCTGTGCGCTGTCTTGCCTGCTGACTCTCTTGCGCTGTCTCTCTGTCCTGCATGCTCACTTTCCCACTAGCTCTCCAGCGCTGGCACTCCCTCTAACTTCTCCAAATTTTCACTTTCATCCCTCTCCAAAATTGCCTTTTCTCGCACAATGGTTGAAAGGAACTCATATGCACAGAGTTTACAGTGTCAAGAGCTCTGGCTGATCTAATCACTTACCCATGGTCACCCAGAACTCAGCAGGATGGAATCTAGGTTGTTGTAGCTCGATACCACATAGCTAGAGGCCTAATATACTAACTATGGTCTTCTAACAACTTCTAAGGCTCCTGCTTTTTGATCCTTCATGCTACTCATGGAAAGATCAGGCTGCCACTGAGAATCATGGTAGAAAAAGGCGATCATTCTGCCCACCAAGTCTGTGACATCTTTTTCAGGTTGGAATCTAGTCGAGGGTTTCAGGGTTTATTTACTGAATAACAGCTAGATATAGGAGTTACAGATTGGAATCTAATTGAGGGGTACGAGTTGTTTTACTATAGGATAAATGGAAATAAGTTCAAGACTGAATTCTAATCAAAGAGTTCGGTGTGATTTATACATAAAACAAAATAAATAACCAGGAATAAATTACAAGCTGGAACCTAATCTAGGGGTTCAGGTGGGGGAGGGTTACATATTAAATAATAGACACCTGGGACAGAATTACAGACTGGAAGCAAATTGAGGAGTTTGGACTAGTTTATATGTAAAACAACAAATATCTGGGAGAGAGTTGCAGATAGAATCCAATCAAGGGGTTCAGGGTTTTATTTACAGAATAATAGATACCTGGGAGTGGATTACACACTGGAATCTAATCAAGGGATTTGGGGTGGTTTATTTATACAATAATGGGGACAGAAGGTGTTTATTTCTCCCTCTGTCCCTCTATAGATGAGCCTCTCTCCCTCTGTCCTCTCACCTGATTGGGTATCTCTCTCCAGGATCCCTCCCGAGGTGAAACAGCAGGGGTTGGATGGTGTAGTCCCGTTGATCATGTGTTGTGACACCAGTCACATTCTGTCCTGGGCAGAAGTTAATTCCCTGAAATTAAATAAAAATGATTTATGTGTTGAGAAAATTCCTGTTGGAACCTTTCAATCACTATGTTCTGAAAAATATGACTCGTGAAAACATCAGGATTAGAGAATCTTTGGTCAGCATGTATGAGCTCCTAGAACACCAAGCCCAGTCAGTACAGGAACAGCAGGACACCATTCAGCCCATCAAGTCTGCTCCGCTATTCAATCAAGTCATGGCTGATCTGTACATCAAACCTATTGACTCAGTTTTGTTTAGTACACTTTGGAAACCCTCATCCAATAAAATGCTGCCCTACATAAACACCACGCACGCATACACACACACAAACCAGGGACAACTCCAATGGCTAGACAGACAATAGTCATCAAGCCTTTCAACATTCTCAGTACATTAATGCTGCTAGTATCAAAGGGTCTGTCTCAAATTGAAAGGGATGGAAAACTTGCATAGCTGGATTTCTGACATTGGCTCATAAACCCTGAGAATGGGGATGGGGTGGGTGAAGGATTTTCAGGAAATATAAGCAGTCTAACTGTATTGAGTGTGAGGCAGGTGAGAACAAAGTAAGAGAGAAACTTGCTGGCAAGGGAATAAATAGAAGAGGGCTGAAATCACCTAGTTAAAATTGTAAAGAGAGGAAAACTATTAAAAATGAGATAAAATGTCAGTAAAATAAATATTGGGCTGGATTTTGTGTTGCTGCCATGTGTCCCACTCATCAGTTGCCAAACCAGTGGGACTTCCAATCACTTTGGAGGGAATGATTCAAACTGAATGAAGTGCCTATAACTGTGCTGTGTCGGGCAAATCTCAGGTTAAGTATAAGAGTCTGAAAACAGAACTGGGAAATTAAATGGGTAACAACACCAGCAAATAACTACACAGAAACATTTGAAACATTTAAAATGTTAAACAGAGTGCAGGGAAAATGTTTTCTGTTCAAAGGAAAGAAGAAACTGAACTCCTGTGAGGCTCCACAAATGAATAAACATGGGAGGGAACAACTAAGGGTTAGCAATACATCAAGGACACTGATAGCTGAGGAGTTGATAAGAGAGAATATGCAGAGACATTACAGAGAAGTCAAAAAACAATCAGGAAGGCAGATGATGAAACTAAATGAACATAATGAATGGTGGAGTAGGTCAAAGGGCTGAAACGTCTATTCCTGTTCTTATGTTCCACAGGTGCATCATGAAGAAACCTCTCTGACGGAAATAAGCCCATGAAGGGATAGACAAAATAATATCAGAGGTAATGAAAGACAATGCCAGTAACATTAGATCAATATTTCACTTCAGTACTTATCAAGGAGATAGAATAGTACATGCGACTTTGAACAATAAAATGAATAACAAGATAAGTGCATTTAAAATATAAAATACAAATTAAGAAGGGGAGCAGACCATGTACAGGAAACTGCACAGCAGTGAGTTTAACACTGACATTAGCAAAAAACAATAGAATCCTTCCTAAAGGAGAGAACTGATCATCCAGAAACAAAAAATACTAAAAATGATTAATTGAAATGGATTTTGAAGCGATAACAGAGACAGTAAAGTAGTAAATATAATTCAGTTGGATTTTCAAAACATCTTCAACAAGTGTCATAATAGACTAATGAATAAGATTAGAGAATATGGGGTCAGAGTCAAGTGGTAGGGTGGATTGGTAGCTAGTGTCAAGACAGAAAACAGACTATGAAAGTAAGGAATGGGGTGGGGGATTATTCAGGGTGCCTATAGGGTGGGAAGTGGTGTTCCATAGGATCAGTGCTGGCGCCACTGCCATTCACATTTTACAATAACTTTGTAATTATAAACAGAATTTCTCAATTTTCAGATGGCACCAAACTGGAGGATGAAACAGTTAATGTATTGAGGAGGACTGCAATAAATTACAAGAGGACATTAATAAACTCTCAGAATGGACAAATAATTGGCAAATGAAATAAAACAGAAATTGCTGGAGGAAATCGGAGATCCTTCTTCAGAACTGATGGTAGCTCAGAAAAGTTGGCATGTGGGATAATGGGTTGGGTAAAGGACATGTATTGAACTCAATATTGAGTCCTGAAGGTTGCAAGTGGAAACATACGAACAGGAGTAGACCAATCAGCCCACTGAGCTAGTTTCACCATGCAATGTGATCATGGCTTATCATCCACTTCAGTGGCTGTTCCCCACACTCAGGGTAGGTGCCAGAATCTGGAGAATTGCAAACATTATGGCCTTGTTCAGGAAAGGCTATAAAGATAATCCAAGCCCAAGTCAGAAATGTTGCCCATGGAACACTGTGGTGTGTTGAAGTGGCAGGCAACTGAAAACTCTGGGTTATTTTTGTGAACAGAACATAGGTGTTCTGCAAAGCGGTCACCCAGTCTGCGTTTCATCTCTCAAATGTAGAGGACATCATATTGTGAGCAGCCAATACAGTAAACTAGACTAAGTGAAATGCAGGTAAAGCACTGCTTCACCTGGAAGATGCATCTGGAGCCTTGAATAGTGAGGAGGAAGGATGTAAATGAGCAGATGTTACACCTTGTGCCAATGCATAGGAAGGTGCCATGGGCTGTTGGGAGTGGAAGAATGGACCAGGGCATCCCAGAGGGAATGGACCCTGCGGAATGCTGACAAGGGAGGGAAGGGGAATGTGTCTGGTGGTAAAAATGCATCACCTCATACTTCTCTGCGTCTACCACCTATCCACCCACTCCACCAACTCATCAATGTCCTTATGAGTTCCACACTTTTGTTCTCACAGTTTACAATTGTTCCAAGTTTAGTGTCATCTGCAAACTTTAAAATTGTCCCCTGCACACCAGGATCCAGATTGTTAATATAAATCAGGAAAAGCAATGGTCCCAATACCGATCCCTGTGGAACTCCACAGTAAACCTTCCTCCAACTTGAAAAATATCCATTGACCATTACTCTTTGCTTCCCATCACACAGCCAATTTTGTATCCATGTTACTACTGTCTCTGCTTACCATTATAAGTTCTCTCACAAGTCTGTTGTATGGCACTATATCTGACATATCTTGGAAATCCATGAACATCATATCAGCGGTGTTGCTCTCATTGAGCCATTCTGTCACATCTTCAAAAGCCTCCAGCAACTTAGTTAAACACAATTTCCCCTTTAGAAATCCATGGTGACCGTTCTTGATTGACCCACCTTTTTCCATGTGTTTACTAACTCGATCCCAAATAATTGTTTCTAGAAATTTACTCACTACATAAATTGAAATAACTGGTCTCTAATTGCTAGGATTATCCTTACAACCTTTCCTGAACAAGGTTACAATGTTTGCAATTCTCCAGATTCTGGCACCTACCCCGAGTGTGGGTAACAGCCACTGAAATACATGATAAGCCATAATCATTTCATGTTCTTTCTGTGTGGCCACATTTTGAACGTCTTTTAAAAATCCAGGTATACTATATCTACTGGTTCTGTATTAGCTCCCATATGGATAACATCATCAAAGCGCTCCAATCCTTACAGTCCATGGCGGTAATGTCACTGTACTAGTAATCCAGAAACCCAGGCTAATGCTCGGGGGACATGGTACTGCAGCTGGCGAAATGTGAATTCAATAAAAAATGTGGGATCAACAGCTGAACTAATGATGACCATGCAAATTTACAATTGTTGTATAAACCCATCTGATTCCTTAATGTTCTTTAGGAAAGGAACTCTGCTATCTTTACCTGGTGTGGCCCACGTACCTGTAGCAATATGGTTGACTCTCAAATTCCCTCCTGACAATAAATGCTGGTGTAGCCAGTGACACCCATATCCCAGGAAACGAATTTTTAAAAATGCCAAATAAAATTTCTCTTTTTGGAAAACTTGCTGACTTGTTCTTATTCTACTACGTTTTTCCAATTGCATTGTTAGGACTACTTTACCAAGAGTCCACCACATTCCCAATGATCGATGAGATAACATGGTGTAGAGCTGGATGAACACAGCAGGCCAAGCAGCATCAGAGGAGCAGGAAAGGTGATGTTTCTGGCCTAGACCCTTCTTCAGAAATGGGTCATGATCGATGTTAAGTTAACCAACCTGCAGTTCTACTTTTTTCTCTCCCTTCATTTCTTGAACATTGGTGCCACATTTGCTAACTTCCAATCAATTGGAACCATTCCACAATCTAAGAAATTCTGGAAAACCAAATGCAGCACATCCACTATCTCTGCGGCTTTTTGGAATCCGAGGATGTGGACCATCAGTTGTGGGAATTTTCATTATTCAATTACAGTCAAAAGAGTCACAGAGTCATACAGCATGGAAACAAGACTCTTCAGTCCAACTAGTCCATATTGACTAAGTTTCCCAAACTAAATTAGTCCCACTTGCCTGCTTGTGGCCCATATTTCTCTAAACCTTTCTTATTCACGTACCTATCCAAATGTGTTTTAAATGGTGTAACTGTACCTGCATCTACCACTTCCCATTTCATCCTCCATTTCCTCATTATCTACTATTAACTCCCTACTTTCTCGAGGACGAGCACTTACTTTCTCTTTTCCTTTTTGAATACCTACCAAAACTGTTGCTATCCATTTTCATATTCCTCTCATATTCCTTCCTTGTTTGGAGCAGCGGGAGCGCGAGCCAAGGTGCCGACAGGAAGGTGAGGTTTTTTCTCCTGTATAAAAACTTACCTCATGCAGCAGCGGCCTTCTTGTTTGGAGCAGCAGGTGTGTGGAGAGAACGCGAGCCAGGAAAGAACAAATATATTCGGCCATTGGCTAAACCCGAAACACTACATGTGTAGTGTCTCCCACCCATCCTCCTCCTCTAACCAAAACAAAGACTGTGTGGAGGGTCGGTAAGGTAAGGCTTTTTTTAATTCTTCTGGAAATCTTGAGTCGATGGAATTGGAAGCTAGGGCAGTTGCATGCTCCTCTTGCGGGATGTGGGAGGTAAGGGTCACTGCTGGTGTCCCCTCTGACTTCACCTGCGAGAAGTGCACCCAACTCTAGCCCCTCAAAAA